CTGGGAGAAAATTAAAAACAACATTGAAGAAGCAGCAACAGAAGCTCTAGGAAAACGCAAAGTCATACTGAATAAAAGAAACAACAACAATACACCATGGTTCAAAAAAGTAATAAAAGAGATATGTAAAGAGAAACGAGAGGCCTACATGAAGTACAAAACATCAAATACCCCAGAATCTAGAGACAACTATAGAAGAATACGAAATGAAACAAAGCAGTTGGTAAGAAGAACAAAAAATGAACACTGGAAACAGTTTACAAAAAGGATGGAAAGAAATCGCAGAATTAAAGGAATACAATAACATTCCAGCAAACGAATGGGAAAGATACCTGACGGAACTGTTTCAAAAATAGGAAGTCACCAGAACCAGAAGGAATAACCAACGAGCGAGTAACCAACCAACGAGTAAAATACGGAGGAGAAAGTATAACCCTAGAGATCAAAAAACTTATGCAAAAACTAATATTGCACTGCAAGATACCAGACGCATGGAGAAACAGCATAATATTACCAGTGTTCAAGAAAGGAGATAAAGAAGACCCCAACAATTATAGAGGTAGAAATCTACTAAACATCGCACTTAAGCTTACCACAAAAGTCCTAACCAATAAAATCAATAAACTAACAACTTTATCAGATGAACAATAGGGATTCAGATCCGGAAGATCCTGCGTAGACGCCGTATTTGTACTAAGACAAATCACTGAAAAAGCCATCGAGTACAATAAACCAGCATATCTATGTTTTATAGACCTGACAAAGGCTTTCGTTCGCATCCAAGTCGAAGACTTCTTACACCTACTGTATAAAAGAAATATACCAATCGATATTATACAAACCATCGAAAACATCTACCTCCAAAGTCGAATACAGGCAAAGATAAATGGAACACTCACACAGTGTATACCAGTACAAAGCGGAGTCAGACAGGGTGACTCGTTGAGCCCACCTCTCTTTAATATAATAATGGACTAAATAATACAAGCAGTACGTAAAGGTTAATAATATCAGCAGACAAAACCAAATGTATGACAACATCTAAATATCCACTACGGTGTAAAATCGAAATTGATGGGAAAATAATAAAGCTGGAAGCAAGGTTTAGATATTTGGGAATAGATATAACTAGTTACGGAGATTTTGAAGAAGTACGACAACAAAGCTTAAAGCAATTAAAGCGGCGGGTTCTCTTAATGACACAATCTGGAAGAACAAACATCTAAAACAAGACACAAAAACAAGAATCTATGAAGCAGCAATTATCCCTATATTAACACACACGGCGGAGACAAGACCTGACAAATCTAAAACGAGACGACTGCTAGAAACAACAGAGATGAAAATACTCCGACGAATATTAGGGGAAAAGTCTATTGGATAGGGACAGAAATAAAAACATAAGAAGAGCATGCAATATAGATGACATAAATGGATGGGTGACAAAACGAAAACAGGAGTGGAACGAACATATCAGTAGAATGGCAGAGGATAGAATACTTTCCTCATAAAGACCAACATAAATACACTTTTAAACAATAATCGAGGCCAGCGATCAATGATACATTTTATAGTCACAAATCGAGTGATAACACCGTCACAAGTACTTGATGTCAGAGCCCTAACATCTGCTAACCTGGGGACCGATCACAACCATGTTTTATGCAAATTGCTACTAGAACGTCCGCAACGAAACAGAAAACCCCCAAATGCTCATCGAAAAACACAATATAGAGTCACTAGCAACAGAGAGTACAAAACTCCTTTATGAGAACAGGATTACCAGCAAATTAAAAGAGATCGAGTTACAACCAGAATGGGGAGTAGAAGATACTTGGCAAAAAATCAGGAAATGACAAATCGTGATTTTATCAAGAGGTAAAAGAACTCTCTGAATTAAAACGCAAATGCTAGAAACGTAAGATAGGCAGATGCTAAAGTACGAAACGAAGTAAACGCAAGAATAAAATCAATCAAAAGAGAACATTGGGCTAAATTCACCAGCGACATGGACTACGACCTACATGGTGCCCAAAAGAAAGTGTGAAAAATGCTTCAATAGAATAGACAAGAAATATGCTTTATTGTCACTGAAAATTATTGAACAATTTTATGGACAAAGCTAAAAAATATCAGTCAAATAGTACAAAAAAAAACAAATATAATAAAAAACAGAACAATACAATTTTAAATTAGTAAAATTATTATATAACTTACATAATTTGTACAGACAACAACAAATGAAACAAATTGTAGCCACTGAGACACCCAAATGTAATTATAAACAATACTAATTTTGTTTCTTTGTTATACATTAAGAAACTTGTCAACTAAATAATATGGTCTTTCAGACAGATAGATTTTTGTCATCTTACGAAACTTAATGAAAGATGTTGTGGATTTAATTTCTCTTGGAAGGTGATTATATAGTTTTTTTGCACTATATAGAATAGAACTCTTTACTAGCTGAGTTGACTGGATCGGTAAATAAACGTTACAATCCGAATTTCTAATGAAGTAGCCATGATCAGGTCTATCGAGAAAAATGTTTAGATGCTTGCGAATCAAACAAACCGTTTCCAAAATAAATAAAGAGGGAAGCGTCAAAATTCCATGATTTTTGAAGTAGGTCTTGCAATGAGTTGTTTGTTTGAGACCAAATAGATAACGAATTGCTCTTTTTTGCAACTTAAAAATAGTATCAAATTGGGCCGCTGTACTAGAACCCAAAATGGAAGCCCATATCGAAGATGGGACTCGAACAATGAGAAATATGCCAATTTGACCGAAGATAAATTTAGTTACTTCGAAACAGATCTTATTGCAAAGCAAGCTGAGGCTAGTTTCTTCCTTAAGGAGTCAGCACGCAAGGACCATTTAAGATCACTGTCGATAATAATACCTAGAAATTTTACGGAATTAACGATACTGATTTGGCTCTCTTTCAAAACCAAGGGTTGAATGACTCTTTTGTGACGATAATATATTTTATCGTCTAGAGTACGCCTATGTGTTAAACAAAACATGTTTTGTTCCGTCTCGAATAGTATAAAAGTCGAAACTGAAAGACAGCTAACCATTCTCGACGCGTTGAGAATATCCGACCTTGGGACAGGTGAGTTGAACGTGTCCCAAATCCTTCCGAACCCAGTCGATCTGGCGCGTTGAGCGAGATTGACAATCCTTCCTCTGGCTGAACTAGATAGACATCCTTATCCCTGTCCAAGTACTCGTTCTGCGTTGAGGAACGAGTACGACTTCAATTTCCTCGATCGCCGTATCTTAGTTTATCATATCGAATGTCGTCACACCCATCTACCGAAATAAATAAACAGTATGTTTTTGTATTCAAGCATGATATTCAGTAGATACTTAACGATAATAACTTTTTCATTTGTATATGTTAATTCGAAATAAATGTCTATACGAACGAATCCTGTTTCTCTGGCTGAATTACACTACCCGACCTCACACCTTATTAGATAATGCTACTGTCTTATCCACGTTAAAACTAAGTAAGTTGGAGTCTGACCAAGCCTTGAATATAATCAAATCAGCGGTTATAATTGAATGAAGCGTTGAAATATTAGAGTTGCTCCAAGTAATACTAGTATCATCAGAAAATAGAAAAATTTTCCCTTTAATTTTCAAGTAAGTGATGTCATTATTGAAAGGTAAAAAAAGAATGAGACCTTATACTGAACCTTGCGGTACTCCACAGTCAATATCTTTACAACTAGAGTATACTGAACCTTGCGGTACTCCACAGTCAATATCTTTACAACTAGAGTTGGTGCCTTTTATTCTAACGAATTGTTTCCTACCTACCAAGTAAGTATTAAACCAATTCAAAGAACACCCCAGAACAGGAAAAAACCAGTTAACGAGTTCGTGCAGACCAAGGGAATAGAGACATGGCAACAGCATTTTAAAGAGCTATACAGATGCTGAAAAAACACTGAATATAAACGAATACGAAGCAGATATAAGTGCTACAGTCAATGACGAAGAGGTAGAAGCAAAGATCAAGAAGCTAAAAAACAGAAAATCATCTGGAACAGATGGTATACCCAATGAACTTTTAAAATATGGAGGCCTGAACTTGCAAGTAAACTGTCACAACTATTTAACAAAATTTTAAATCGACACAGAAACACCAGAGGAATGGTATAAGAGCATCACAATCCCCATATTTAAAAAAAGGACAAAAAACTTGCCCACAAAACTGCAGAGGAATAACCCTCTTAAATACAACGATGAAACTTTTTACAAGTATTCTTAAGAAAAAAATTGGAAAGGCCAATCACTAATGCTGAAGAACAACCAGGTTTTACAAGAGGGCGGTCTATAACAGATGAAGTATTCATAATAAAACAAATAAAAGAAAAAGCTATAGAGTTCGGCATGCCAGCGTATATTTGCCTCAATGATTTGACAGGCGTTTGACAGCGTCGCTGGAGACATTCCAAATATATTACTAGAAAATAAAACACCGACAAACATAACAAAGATAGTCCATAACCTAAATAACAACAATGTAACCAACGTTAGAGCAGGAGACCAATTCACTGAAAATATTCCAACACCGGGAGGAATTAGACAAGGCGACAGTTTAAGCCCAAAGGCAAAATTATAAACAAAGTAACATCTCTCAATCTCGGATACAAAATGGATAACAAAAGAGTTGGTATGGTGTGTTACGCAGATGATGCAAACTCCTGTAAAATCATCATCTTGCCACTTACGAGTTCCTGCTTTGACGCCGTCGATATCTCATTTTGTGCATCTTAACTGTGCAGTTATGAGCAAAATAATGAGTTTTACGTTTTGATTGTTTATTTAAACATATTTTCAATAAAAAATTGATGAATCCCTAGATCAGGGTCTCTTTGTAATATTTCATCCTACACACTTTAACTGTCAAACCGGTCTATATAGTTATAACTAGTAAAAATCTAACTTAATTGGCCTGTAAGGAGTATAAATAAAACAGTCATTTTATAAAAACTTTATTATACAAATGTGTTCTAAGCTGATCTTTTGAGATTCATTTGAATTTCTTCTAAAGTTTTATCCTTTGTTTCTGGAACCACAAATCGTGTAAGTACTGTGGTTATACCCGTACAGATCGAGAAAAATAGAAAGGGAGCGTAGCTGCCCCCTGCCGAACTTAAAAAGTTGAAGGTAGCGTTTGCTAGAAATATCCCGCCACTATTGACGAAAGTCATCGTTGCTACAGCTTTCGACTTAATGCTTGCCGAGAAAAGCTCTCCTAGCATTACACTAGGTATTATAGCCACACCGAAACAGGAACAAACCTGATAGGTAACTAGTGATGTGATTGGTAGCCAGCTTAAAGAAGATATATCAAATGTGGGCACGAATTCTTCTAAATAAAAATAAACAGCCATTACTGCAAGTATTACGGAACATAGGGCTGAAGAATTTGAGTATAGAGGCTTCCTCCCGAATTTAGAAACCACGAATATTGTCACAAATAAAGTAATAATAACACAAAGAATACTGTAAATAATAGAAGCCGTCTGGGGAGTTACGTTTCCTCCAGCTTTTAAAAAGATATACTGAGTATATTGGATAAAAACTGATATTCCACTATAGGACTGGGACATTCTCAGAAACACTGCACAAAATAACGCGTTCCTGTTGCTTTCAATTGCAACCAAGTCTTTCCATGTTCCTGTCTCAGACATTTGCCGGTCAACGTCACTCTTCAGATTATTCAAGTCATCAACTACATTTCTCTTTCGTGTTAAAAATATTAAAGATCTTCTAGCACCTCCATAGTCTTTCTTGATTAGATAATAATACGGCGATTCTGGCATAAATGCGAACAGAATGACAAACAGTATCGATACTGGTATAAAAATATAGGAAGTCGTGGCAACATCGCAGTAGCTACCGACCACATTCACAGCTAATTGCCCTACAAAAATAGCGGAAGTTATTAACGTCCCACAAAGACCTCGTATTTTCGGACACGTCACTTCTCCGATATACATCGGCAGCGCTGTCCACAAGAAGCCATTTGCCAGACCTGAAAACACCCTTGATAAATAAAATACGTAAATGTTTCTAGCTACAGCTGCAGTGATGAAAGATAGTATGTGTGGTACGCTGATAAGAAGCAGGGTCTTTTTTCTTCCGATAATGTCGGGTAATTTAAAGAATATTAAGGAGGTTAGCAGCACTGTAAGAGGTTGAATGGTTGGTAAACGGGCAGCTTCTTCTTCTGATATGTTATAGTTTACTTTGTCCTGGGCAATTTTTACTATAAACGGAGATGTCCATGAAAAGAGAATACCTTGTGTGAATGCTCCCAAACTGGCTAAAAAATATATAAAAATTAGTTTTTCAAAGACAAAAGTAAAAAAAATATCAGAGGTATTAGTTATTACCAAAATTTTAATATATAAAGAAGCTTTAACGACAGAGGAAGCACTCGTGGCATCAACTGTAGCTATTAGTTTTTGCGATTGTGGTAGAAACCCTTTTAAGGAAATTTACTCCAAGCATAAGTTACGGCTTTATTCTGGATACTTGACTTTTTCCCTTCTCTGAAAGCCGTCTGCACAAAACCGGTTGTACTGCAGGCGATTAACTTATACATCTTTTATTGACTATTGTATTGACTACCAGCAAGGATGCAGGGAAGGCAGCAGATCCACTACAGATGCGATCCTCATAATGATACACACACAACTCCACACCCTCTTTGTAGACTTCAGCCAAGCTTTTATTTGTATGTATTGAAATAAAATCATTATTTAATGAAATAAAAAATCTAGATATACTGGTAAAATTAAAGAGATTAAAGCGCGATAATGCGATTCGATGTCAACCACACACTATTTAACATAGCGATAGAAAGAACAATCAAGGCCAGCGGCATTAAATAAACAATAGACCATTCCTTAACACAAATAGTAGTAAATACAAGTGACATAGTTTTTATGAGAAGAGATTAGGTTAGATTGAAAGAAGCATTAACAATCCTAATAAATGAAAAGAGATATGACAACAAATTAGAGCGAGAAGTTAAAACGAGGATAATGGCAGGAAATAGATCTTTCTTTGCAATGCAACATCTGATGAAGTCAAAACTTCTTTCACGAGGTGCAAAGATCCGGATATACAAGACCATAATACGACCAGCAGTCGCGTATGGAAGCGAAACATGGACGATAACAAAAAGAGAAGTAAATAAATTGCTGGTATGGGAACGTAAAATTCTTCGAATGATATATGGCCCTTGCAGAGACAGCGTGACAAACGAATGGAGGGGCAGATACAATAACGAGCTAGAGTCTCTATTCGGAAAAGAAAATCTAGTCAGATATATAAAGGCCAATAGATTCAGATGGGCAGGACATGTGATACGCAGTAACGACAATCGCCTTATAAACAATGTCTTCTGGGAAAGGCCAGATGGAAGAAGGTCTGTGGGGCGGCCTAGAAAAAGGTGGAAAGATGCAGTCAGAGAAGATCTAGAGAAGATGGGAGTGCGACAATGGGAATTACTGGCACAGGACCGATAAACATGGAAGGCAATAGTAAACGCGGCAAAGACTCACGAAGAGTTGTAGCGCCATTGATGATGAATGGTTTACAACCGCATTAAAAACTTAACAGCCGATAATGTCAATCAAATATCACAATTTCAATGTGACCTAAATTTTTGCACGCTAGTGTATATTCACTTGTACCTACTTCACCCAATCATAAGTTGTTGGCATCCATCTTGTTGTCCATTGCCTATGTATATCATAGGAATTACCAATTTTTCGGGCAGATCGTATTGGAGGATTTCTAGATCTCAATCGTTGGTGCTCTTTTGAGATATCTTGATGTATTGGTAATTGTACGTTGGCTACAATTTTCTGGTACTCTCTCACTAATGCTGCTGTACGGCGTAGATCTGGTGGAGCAATATTGCTCAGAGTAGGCAGCCATCTCACTGGCGTTGATTTTATTGTTCTAGTGATTATTCTCATGGTCTAGTTAAGTTGGACATCGATTTTGCTTGTATGTGCACTATTTAGCCATACTGGTGCACAATATTCTGCCACTGAAAAAAACCAAAGCTAGAGCTGAGGTCCGAAGAGTATCTGCAGAAGCACCCCAAGTTGTTCCAGCAAGTTTTGATATTAAGTTATTTCGTGTTCTTAGCTTACCGGCTGCGTTTGTAAGATGACTTTTGAAGGTGAGTGTTCTATCAAGTGTGACGCCTAGATATTTGGGGTTGTTGTTATGTTTGATAGCTGTGCCATTTAGAGTTACATTGAGAGTATCTCCCGCAAGTTGATTCGACAGGTGAAAGAGACAGGTTTCAGTTTTGCTTGTGTTAGGACGTAAGCGCCAGTTCTTAAAATAGTTACTTAGTGTAGATAAGTCCTCGTTTAGAGCTCGTTCTCCTGCTTCTTTACTGTTGGTTGTAATTTAAATACATTAGTGCCTGTAGTTTCACCGAACTCAATCCAACGTCTATCCCATTTAAATTTAATATGTTAAATTCTTCAATTAATATATGTGGGTGCTTTAGTGTATTTTTGTGTTAGTTTTGTTTTTGTAGTGTTAGAGTTAGAGTTATTTATAAGAACAATAATAACCCCCTCTGTGGCTCAGTGGTAAGAGCGCCTGCCTTTAAACCTAAAGGTCGTGAGTTCGAATCCCACCTGGGTGGAAATTTTCGTTTATTAAAAAAAAATTAATAAATGAAAATAATTTCTATCCTTGTGTGATCGGTACACACCGGAGGGACCGCAGATGTTCGGATACAATTAGCGTCTCTTAGCAAAGACAATGATGTCGACTTTGCTAAGTATCAAGACAATTACTCTACACACACACACACATACACACACACACACACACACACACACACACACACACACACACACACACACACACACACACACACACACACACACACACACACACACTACACCTCAAATTGTAAGATTGGCGAATGGATTTAGTGTCCGCAGTCATTTAAACACAAACAAACAACAAGAACAATAATATGTGAATCAGAAACAAGACCCGACGGCGGAGATGAAAATACTGATACAAATTAAAAAAAGAACATTGAGAAACCATAAGTGGAGTAAATATAAAGAAAATATAATGTACAGATATAAATGAGTAGACACCCCCTCTGTGGCTCAGTGGTAAGAGCGCCTGCCTTTAAACCTAAAGGTCGTGAGTTCGAATCCCACCTGGGTGGAAATTTTCGTTTATTAAAAAAATTAATAAATGAAAATAATTTCTATCCTTGTGTGATCGGTACACACCGGAGGGATCGCAGACGTTCGGATACAATTAGCGTCTCTTAGCAAAGACAATGACGTCGACTTTGCTAAGTATCAAGACAATTACTCTACACATACACACACACACTACACCTCAAATTGTAAGATTGGCGAATGGATTTAGTGTCCGCAGTCATTTAAACAAAAACAAACAACAAACGAGTAGACACTACTTAAACAATTGGCACCTTGGGACAAACTTCTACCAAGGTTGTTAACAATCTCCAATGGACAAGCAGAATTGATTATAAAGATAAGAAGAATCCATCTGTTCAAATTGTTATCTACATTCTAAAAAAAGTCTATTCTAAAAAAGTGCAAAAATTTAATGAATCAATTTATTGTGAAATATTAGATTATAATATCTATTAATATAATATGAACTCTCAGTATTATGACTGCAATAATAATTTTTAAAGGTTTCAAAATTGTGAGCTATTTATAACAATTTCTAAACATAAATATAAATTTATTATCATATGCTTAAATAGGCCATCATATTCATTGATATCATTGACCTTATTGTTAAACATTTTTATATAAATAAAAATATCATTTGATCTCGAAATTACCGTAATATCATAGTTGGATCTTAACAAATACTCAATAAATTTCCTAACCTAATCACACACGCCTTTTTACGTCTTTTTAGCCTTCATCTTCAGGCTTTTTTGGCCACCAAACCCAATGATTTTGAATTTCAACACTTGGTTCATTATTTAATGCAAATATGATCATCGGTTAACAAAATATTGAAACAAATTGTCATTAGGCCTGTCCAAAAATTTATAAAAAATTACGTCCGTAAGTTCTTAAAATTTATTCAAAAATTTTTAAAAATTATCCAAAATGGATTTAAAAATTTTCCAAGTCATCCAAGAATACCTAATCAAGTATAGACATAGACAGTTTTACAATGCAATGTGGGAGACTGCTGTAATCAAAGAAAGAAACCGAAGAAGTAGCGGTTTGAACGAAAGCGCATTTATTCTTTCTAAAATAAGTTATAATAATTGTAAAATCCACGTGTTATATACCTAAAACTGTTTTTAATATTTTGATATTTTTTCAGGACTGATTAATGTGATCCAGCAGCTCACCGATTTCTTTCTACCTTTCTCTTATTTTATTTTATTTAATCCGGAGAAATAAAAAAATACTACAAAGCAATTGATTATTATTGAATAGAGGAAAAAGCGACTAAGTCACTACCCTTTAAGATTCAATGTTGAATTCCCAGGGTTGGAATGATAATAGTAAATAAACTATTCACAGAATGTGAAAAAATGTATGTTCTTTTATAGTTTTTTTGTTAGAATTCTAAGACTCGAGCTAGCAACAAAGATAAAACGGACTAAGTAAAAATATCTGTTAACTCATAATGGGTAAGCTAAATAAAGTAGTTTACCTATGACACACGCTAAAACTTGTGGCCACACTCTCGCCCTTTCAGTAAAACTATCTTTTTCACTACACTCATTTTCAGAACTTATCACCAAACTTCTAGCCATTCTATTCTTCTCTTCATACACTTATCCTTTAATAACGAATATAAATACAAACGGTGACATGCCTATAGATAAGTTCAATCAGTATTTACTAGGATCATACGATGTCATAAATATGTCTTACGAGTTGTGTCTACATTGTTTGATTTTTGAATAAACATTTTTTCCATGATAAATACAGTTAAATGTTTCACGAAGCGGTAGTTTGTTATAAAAATATAGCATGTATAAATAAAAAAAAATTATTATGGGTTCATTTGTACCCAAAAGTACTTAACAAATCTAAAAAACTAGCGCATATAAAACATAAAAAAGCAATTTCTTTCCTTTTGAAGGCACAAATGGACATTGCACTTCTGACATTTCCATCTTGATTTTCCTATACAACCAGGGTTTTTACATCTTAAAGGTAAAGGTAGCTGAGGGTGCTCTGGAAAATGTCCAATGTTATCTAATCGCACCTCAGTAAGAGGTACAATTACAATGTTTTGGCGTTTTTGAGCTACTACTGGACTAGATGTACCGCTTGAAGGTCTTCCCCGTTTTCGGTTATTGAAAGAGTTGACTTTTATGAGGGCTTCACCAACTTTCATCCTAAAGTGTAGAAGGTCCATGATATCTTTTTTTGGAATTCCTAAAGTATGCATATCTTTTTTATATTCTAACCATGAATTTGTTAGGGCCATGTCAACTGCATGGAAGATTAGTCGAACAGTCCACTTTCTGCAACGGTTTTTTACTCTGTAAAACGCAATAAGAGCATCTGTTTTATCTATGCCACCCATGGACTTATTATACTTTTGTATAACTTCGGGTCGACTTACGTCAATAAAACATTTTGTTTGTTTATTCCAACGTTTTACAACATCTTCTGTACCAACCCCAACGAAGTTGGATACCATTATCACTGACTTGTTATCTAACCATCTGGTTACTACAATTCCATCAGAAGAGATAATTTGTTCCGTTGATCCTCTCTGGTTTTTTGAAAAATCTTTTACATCAGTTAAAGGTGGTTTAGAAAATCTATTGATCCTCGCAGTACCAGCAACAAGTATTGATTTTTGGTTGAGAATTTGTAAAAGATTATAGCTCGTAAAATAATTGTCACGGTACAATGCATGCTTATTAGGTTCAAGTCCTTTTGTTAATTGCAAAACGATAGCTGCACCTTGTCCATATTTCAAAGTGGAAGGTTCTATTTCTGTGGTACTACCTTGATAGATTAGAAAATTGTAAATAAGTCCACTTTCACCATGGATTAGGCTTATTTTTGATGTATTGTTTTATAGACAATCTCCCTTTGATAGGCATGATTTGTTCGTCTATGCAAATATTTGTTTCTATATGCAGTTCTCTACATCTCTTTAGGACTGATTCAAAAACTGGTCGAACTTTCCACAGTTTGTCGTCGCTCTGTCTGGTTTCCAGATTGTCAACACAATGTATGTGCGTGCGAAGTTTGAAATAACGATTCAATGTCATTGTGTCCGAAAAAATATCAATTTTTAAAGATCTGTCCCAATACATTCGCAGTCTTGGAAATTTTAGACAGCCTGTTAGAATACTAAGGCCAAAAAATGATTTTATTTCTTGTAGATTACACGGTACAAATTTCTCATTTCCAGTTTGCAAAGCATACATATTCGTATATTGAACGAAATTTTCGAATATACTTTCGGGAAAATATCTCATAAAATATGTAACTGGATATTCCTCAGAACAGTTTTCATTAGAAATCTGTGTTATTTTATTAGGTAATTGTCGTGTTAGATATTGAACATTCTGTAACCATTTTACATTTTTTTTCAGAGTAATGAAGTTATCATAGTTACCATCGTTTTCGCCCTGAGTCATTTTGGCTACAATTGTGTCCATCGAATTTGAAGCACACTTCTATATTTGAAAAAAATCTAATTTCAATAAAATATATTCACAATTAGTAAGAAGTAACACTACTTTCAACATTGCACTGAAATATAAACGGCGATTGACTTTATTCAAACTAATATTTGAAGAAACAAGTACACTTATCACTCTTATGAACAATGCAATTGCCGACATATTGCTTTTGACATTAATTTTCTTATAGCACAAAACAAAACCATCCATGCGCCATCTAGGTACAAAATGCAGAAGTATAGTACTTATAGAATATAGATTTCGATAAACTTGCCTAAGTTGCAGATTCCTGTAGAATTATATATGCATTCAAATTATTGGGTACAATTATACCCAGCATGACTGAAAGGGTTAAAATAATGACTAGAACGAACAAATCTATAAGTTTCGATTGTTCCAGTGGAGCACTGTTGTTACGGATCTAGTTTCTCTTCCACACTTAGTAGTAGATTACCTTGGTTATCCACCAAACATCCAACTCTTCTAGGCTTGTATAAGCCTGCAGCTTCTTTAACTTTTTTGTGGATATTGAATGAATTGTGTTTCTATTGTAATAGTTGTATTTTCGCACATTGTTTTCTCAGCTGTGTATCCTTAGCCATTCTGATTGCTTTTTGATCTCTTTGTCTATTCTTTTGCATAATATCTTGTTCTGATCTGTGACCTTTTGTCACAAATTGAACTTTTGAATTTTTCTTGTATGTCTTGTGAAACTCTATGAATTTTTCAAGCTCCTGGTCTATTAAATCCGTTTGAATAACGGTATTCAAATTGCTATGTATAAACTGTTTTACATTCTGTTCTGTGCGTTGGTCTTTGAGTAGCCTGATGACGTATTTGGGTTGGCACTACGTCGAATCTTCTTTAGCCTGATCCTCATTTTGCAAATCAGTGGGTAATGGTCTGACTTAATAACGGCTCTTGACTGATGTAATTCTGTTACGGAATTTTTATTACTCATAACGAAATCTATTTAATTTCTGACTATGTGGCCTGAAGTATCTTGAGGTGGTTAACACGTGTCAATTAAAGGAGTTTGAAGTAAGTAATTACAAACTCTTCTTCTGATACAAACTCACCCAAACGATCTCCTCGCTCATTTCTTTATCCAAGCCCAAACTGTTCTACGAATTCTCCCGATTGTCCCTTACCAATCTTGGTATTTAAATCAACCATAATCAGGGTTAGATCCATTTTGGGAAGGTGTTGTAAGATGTTGGATAATTGATGGATTCGACCGTTACTTGATGGAAATTCATTTTATGTAACAATAAAACACTGAAAACTTTGTTTTCAAACTTCCACAAAATTTATTTTAAATCTTATCACTACAGCTGTTTCGGCTGATAGCTTTTCTCAAGTGATCTATTTTTGGCTTGGGTTTACAAATTTATAGTCTCTAATGAAATAGGTTGAGGAGGGGAGAACTGTTTGTCTCAAGTTGGTCATTCAGAATTATATCTGTGTTTTTTAATTTGTTGATTTCCATAGATTCTAACAAAGATGTTGGATAATCCATTATAAAATGCTTTACTTGTGTCGTCTGGTTTGTCAACTGTTGGGGCATATACCTAGATAATGTTAGTTGTTATTGAGTAGGTATCAAGTTGAAGGAAAAGCATTCTTTTCGATATGGGTACAACGTTTATAAGATGTCTGGCAGTTTCTTGATTTAAGATTATACCTATTCCATTTTCGTGTCTTCACATTGCCCAGAGTTCGTCCATCTCATTTCACTTATTCCCATCATGTCTGTTAGTAGTTTATTCATCTTCGTGATTGCAATATAAGTCTTACCGGTCTCGTATAATGTTTTAATATACCATGCGCAGCATTTTCTTTGCACTAGATTGGCAAGGATTTTGTCTGTTGGCGACCGAGAAGGCCTTGTGATCTTGTGATTGTTCTTCTCTGTCGGATCTTGGTAACCGAATCCCATGATCACTATTATCTTTTCTTTGACTAGGTATCCAATTGCTGATTATACTAGGGGTACTCTCCGAGTCTTTAATGCAGTGGTTCCCCGTTGTTTTCTGCATCTTTACGCTATTGATCATTGTTAATAGGTTTCACCCCCTTCAATACCGATTTACCAATCTTAGGACAAAAAGGTGCCCCTCCACTAATCAGCTCATCCGCCCGGAGCCGCTGGCCAGTAAGTGGGGAGATTGTTTATACTAGCAATCATTCGGTCAATTGTTCACCATATCTGGCTACCCTTACTTAGTCTAGCCTGCTGACCAATGCAGTTATCCAGGGTGTGGCACGTGTAGCCATAAGTGAGATTAGGTGTCTTATGAGGACCAGTTATCTAAAACCATCTCCCGTCTATGACGCTCGATGTGGTCGTTTCGATAAAAGATGGTACCTCTATAACACAACCCATAGATACCTATCTCATCATATAACCAGCAGTAATTCTCATACCGTTTGCAATTTTTCTCTGTCATTCCAGGCATATGGTTGGCCACTATAGATCCACTCAGAATGGCCTTTTTGACGCAAGTTTGATTGCCTTCAGTCTTCAGTAATGCGTCGTAGTTTATAGGTTTCTGGATTCATGGATGTTAGGTATTCATCTAGTTTAAGTAATTTTATAATGCAATTAAGTCCGTCTATTATTCTTTATGAACGGGCTCTACCAAATCCGACTGGCTATATTTTTATTGAAAATGTATTTAGGAAGATTAATTACTGATGAGCGAAATATATTTTAAAGGTTTTATAAAATTTCAAATCCTTAATATGCGGCAGCTCATAGAAAAGGCCCGCGAATTTAAAATTCCAATAATAATCTGTTTCCTAGACTACCAAAAGGTATTTAATTGTGTAAAGTGGAAAGTTCTCTGGACAGTTCTTCATGAGATGGGAGTTCCAGATCATTTGGCAATATTAATTAAAAACTTATACGAAGATAACTCAGTTAAAATAAGAATTGAAAACCAGCAATCTGATACCTTCAAAACCAGCAGAGGTGTACGACAAGGCTGCATACTATCTCCAGACCTGTTCAATTTATATGGAGAATACATAATGAGGAACGCACTCGATGGATGGAGAGGCGGCATCTCCATTGCAGGGAAAGAGATCTCAAACTTAAGATTCGCAGACGATACAACACTGATAGCAACATCTGAAGAGGAGATGTCGAGACTGATAAAGAGAGTAGAAACCGAAAGCAACAAGTGTGGGCTCAAGATTAATAATCAGAAAACAAAAATCATGATTGTGGACCACGCGAATATCCTCCAAACAACAGGCGCCCTAAATCAATTCGAGAAAGTAGACGAGTTCACGTATCTAGGATCTTCCTTAAGCAATGCAGCCTCCTGCCATACGGAAATTCGCAGAAGAATAGGAATGGCCAAGAACGCGATGAGTCGACTGTCAAAAATATGGAAGGACCGCTCTTTGTCCAAAAAACTCAAAATGAGACTCGTACGGACACTCGTTTTTTCAATCTTTAGTTACGGTGCCGAAACATGGACAATAAAATCAGAGGATAGGAAAAGGATTGACGCATTCGAAATGTGGTGCTGGAGACGAATGCTACGCGTCTCGTGGACGGAGCACAGATCCAATCAGTCGATTCTCGAAGAGCTAAACATTCAGACCAGACTCTCCTCTCAGTGTCTTGCAAATGTTTTAAAGTTTTTTGGCCACATTGCGAGAAGAGACAATGACAACTTAGAAAGACTAATTGTGTGCGGAAACGTAGAAGGACGTAGAGGCCGAGGACGCTCACCTATCCGATGGTCAGATCAAGTACAGAAAGCCACTGGAGAGACGTTTTCCGAGTCCATGAGAGCAGCCCAAAATCGCAAGAGATGGAGAGAATTGACAGCCCGCATTGTAGGGAATCACGATCCTCAGCAATGAGGAAACGACAAGAGAGAGAGAGATAAAATTTCAAATCATTAATAATCAATAACTAATAATGAGAATGATTTTAAAACAATTTTTATTCACTTTTATTATTACTATGATAAATTTCTAAAAAAACTTCTTTATTGCGATAAATCAATGGTAATCAAAATAAAAAAATAGTAAGTCTATCTTAGAAACCGTATTTCCGGCAACGTTGCTTTTACGATAGTCTAAAGTTTATTGTGTGGGTGTTTAGGTAAATGGTTTTCAAATAACTAAATAGTAAATATAGGTTACATCATGTATGGAATTTGATCTTTTAGTGCGTGCGGTTTTTAAGGTTATATTTATATTGTGAATAACAGAAGTCATTGTACTCTATTAATTTTGATAATATTGTTGTGTATTTAAAATTTAAAAATAGACATTTTAAATGGATGAAAGTTTGTGCAATACAAACTTTTTTTTATTAAAAACGAAGTATGCAAGGATATAGGTATAAAAGAATTGCTTCCAAATGTCCCAAGCATAAACACAAAAATGATATTACAGTCCTAAGACATACTTGAAAATTTATCTACAATATTGTTATCTATCTTTTTCAATTTGCAATGTTTTAAAATTGTTTTTGTTAAAGTTTATAAAAGAAATGAAATTGCTATTTATTCTGTGATACAGTTAAAACTAACTTTATTTTCTTCCAAAAGTGAATACAATTTTGACATAATATGGCCTTGATGAAATAGATGTATTCTATTGTCCTTGTATTGACTTTGTCAATACAAGGGTTTAAAGAAGAATGTCTTATCTGGCACATCTACCACATCCCATACATTGTCACAGAAAAATTGGATTTCATCCATCATGGCTTCTCTCCACTTTGCTCCATCAGGACGTAATGCCTACCAGACTGTTAACGGAACATCATGTATGTGACTTGTCTCCGCACATTTACATATTCACTAAAGTCTTTCTTTTTCTTACTCGTTATGACTTTTTGTTTACTTCTTCTAACGTTTCAGGTAAATTGGGCACTTCAAAGTCCTTAAGTTCTTCTTCATATTCCTCATAGTAGCTAGATTCTTCGTTACTAAAAATATTACCATTATCTTTAGTCTCAGTTTCAATATTATATTTGTTTTGTTCCCCCACTGAATCTAAAGTTTCTTTTGCCTCATGTTAATCTTTTAAATCAAAATGAATCACTTCAAACTTTTTTGTGTCTTCCATAATTTGTACATATTTGCTTACTATAATTTCTTTGGTGGTTCAATTATACATCCTGTATCCTTCTGTATTTTCGCATACCTTACTCAAATGACACTTTGACCTTTTTTCTTGTGGAACGTGTACCATCACATTGCCGCCAAATATTCGAAGGCCATTTACGTTAGGTTTACTATCTAACCACATTTCAAATGGTATTTTATTTAAACCAGAAGCCAAAGATCTATTTTTTAAGTAAACAGCTATGTTTACAGCTTCAGCCCAAAAAATTTTCTTGAAATTGGCATCAAACAAAAGACACTTTAAATATCTTAAATATCTTTCATGTGTTTTTACAAAATTCTTACCATTGCCACTTCGCAGAGTTTTTATATGAAAACCCTTTTGGTTTTCAGCCATACTTTTAAAATTCTTAAAAACTTCACGTTTTGTTTTAATAAAATAAATGATAAAAATTTTACTAAAATCGCCTTGGGTGGTGTATTCTGTGGTAGTACCAATGCCAGTATAATAGTGCCCTTGGGACCTCTGCTCAGGTAGCATTCTCCTGCGGAGGCTTGAAGAACTGATGTACGTGGAGCCTTTTTCATAGCCTTTTTGTGGAGTTAAATTTTTTTTTTGTTTTTTTTTTAGTATATTTGCTTTGAAAAATGTATTAGCTGTCTATCATTATTATATTCTAAGTTGTAGCTTTGCTCTCGGAAGTTTATCATACCCAGTCAGTTCAGTTCCGACGGAACCGTTTTTCTTCTTTTTAGCATTATAACCTCTGAAAATACTTGATTGCATTTGACGCCTGAATATTTTTTCTATCACCTTTATGCCCACTATGATTATGCTAATACCGACCAGTCCAACGAAATTACAATATTAGCTTGCTCTAGCATATTATAGCTCGTATCCGGCCTCTAGGAGGTTCGTTCTTTGGGTTAGTAATTTCTGACATAGTTTCGTTCCTCCATATATTGTTTAAGCTTATAAATCATTTTCTTTACTCATACATTTATAGTTCTTCCTAAATTCTACTAATAAAACACAGAAAGAATATTTATTAAACAAAATAAATATAAAAAATGTGTCTATATCATCACAATCATTCTGCTGTCTTTAAAGTCATCTGAATCTCTTCCAAAGTCTTTCCCTTAGTATCTGGAATCACGAAGAAAGACAATATGGATGACAAAACCGTACATATACCAAACAATAAAAATGGAGCATAATAACCCACAGAAGTGTTGAGTAAATTGAATATACCATTGGTCATGAAGACGCCAGCAGCCATGGCGATCATAAGGACGGTAAGGCCCTTGGCTTTGACGCTAGAAGAAAAAAGTTCCCCTAACATTAAAGTTGGTATTACGGTTACACCAAAAGAAGTAACTACTTGGTAGCTAACAAGGGCCGTAATTGGTAGCCAAGACAAAGATGCTGTATCTACTGAAGGCATCATTTGATCTAAATAAAAATATATAGATATTATGAACAAAACAACGCTACAAGGTACTAAAGAGGAAGCATATAGACGTTTTCTGCTGAATTTATCTACCACAAAAGTAACTACTATGATATTTAAAATTAGGCATAAAGCAGAAAAGATCATGGAAGCAACTCTTGGACTAACCAGACCACCTGCTTTTTGGAAAATAAATTGTGTGTATTGGTTAAATACAGGTAACCCACAAAACTGTTGAGACCATCTTAAGAAAAACCCAGCTAGTAACGCCTTGCGATTGCTTGATATAGATACCAAATCCTTCCATGTTCCCGACTCCGATAGTTGTCGTTCAACGTCATGTTTTAATTGGTTAAACTCCGGATCAACATTACTTTTCCTTGTCAAAAACTTTAAAGAGCATTTGGCCGCTTCGTAATCCTTCTTCATAAGGTAGTAGTATGGTGATTCTGGCATGAAAATAAAGATCATGAAAAACAGAATTGGTAAAGGAAGAAATATATAGGACGTTGTAGGAATGTCACAATAGCTACCTACAACATTTATAGCGAACTGTCCCATATAAAGACCACTAGCAAGCGTATTTCCCCAAACTCCCCTAACCTTAGGCGACGCTACTTCTCCTATATACATTGGCAAAGCTGACCAAAGGAAAGCATCGCCAATACCAGCGCAAACCCTTGCTGCGTAAAACACATAGACGTGTCTTGCAAAAGCTGATAATAATAAATTAATAACGTGAGGTATAGCAAGGAAAAGAAGCACCTTCTTTCTTCCAATAACATCGCAAAGATTGGAGATCAACAATCCGGTTATTATCAGAGCTACTGGTTGGATTATCGGAAAGTTGGCAGCTTCTTCTTCTGATATATCATAATCTACTTTGTTCTGTACGATCTTGACTATGAAGGGAGATGTCCATGAAAAAATAACTCCGTCGGTGAACGCTCCTAATCCACCTGCAACATAATATTTTAGTTAAAACATCTAAAACAAGTAAATTTTTAAAACTATATAAACATTGCTTTTATTTTCACTGAAATTATGTCATATAAACACACATTTTTCCTATACATTATCAGCTTTATCAGAAGGTTGAGTGTAACCTAAACTTACTTAGAAATTATAAATAATAAGGATCTTTGGACTCATTACCAAAAATGGTATGTGGAGATATATTAAAACTCCGCATTTCTAAGTATGCTTATGGTAAATAATAACAGCAGGAATATTTTCTTTTGAAATATTGCGAAAAGATGCGAAGAATTAATGCTTGAAGAAAATAACTGCATAGATGCATTACCTATAGATGCATAGAATACATTACCTATGTCTGTAGAAATAAACCACAATACTACAACTTCACTTGTTCTGTATTTATCACAAAGATTGCCAGACAAAGGGGGTGGAGATAGGACTAGCAAAATAATCGCTACTTGTGTGAACGGAACTCAGGTTTTGGTAGGAGAGCTGGGGTCGTGGATAAGTAATAGATAAGGGGGTTGGATTGGGGCAACTACAAAAAATTAAATAAAGGGGTCATTAATGTCTTGGGATAAACCAAATAAAAATAAACAGGAAACACCTCAAGGAATTTAATATAGGGCGCCACTTGAGGTGACTAATTATAACTAGTACAACAGCTAGTTGTAACTAGGGAAATAATTATAAAACATCAAAAACATATATTTTTCAAATGGAACTCAAAAAAGGGTTAGTTAAAAAAATAAACAAAACAGAGAACCAGGAATGTTAAAAAAAATACAAAAATATTACCACGATAGTCGCAAAATACAAAAAACTTACGTGCGTTTTACTAATTTACAAATTCAGGAGATGCTACAAAAACTTACTAACGTTTACAAATGTTACTGACGTATAAACTATGGCAAATATATAAATTATTACAATTAAAAAAAATATCTGTTAAAACAATGAAAGCAATTATTATTTCAGCAAAAAAATGTCTGTCTTTACTTTGAAAATTAAACAAACAATAAAAGTTACCTAAATTTCACTCATAAACACTCACATAACTCCGAAACTTGCTACATCTCCGGGACTGGAGCTGCAAGGACGAAACTCTGGAACAAGGGGAACCATTTCCATACTCAGGAACAAAAGAAGACCATCTCCATAATTTGGAACTACGATCTGAGGTAGATGGGCTGGATCAAACAAGAAAAACGACAACAAAGCTGTGGGACATCCTATATACAGCTTCAAAATTATACCATGTTCTGGTATACTACACAAATTATTTTTTACTGTAACATATTTCCATTAAATGGGCCAAAAACAGAAGAACACAAATTCGACGGAGAATTTGCGGATCCATACTTGCGATCCACACAGCGAACTGCTCGGCGACCCAAGCATGAATGACGAACTTAAAAATTTGTTCATAGAAATTGAAAACTAACGCTAAAAAACAAAATACAACGAAACAACGTAGCAGATTCCATTACATAACATTCCAAACATTAAAAGACGGCGCCGAAGTAAATATCTTTAAAATAATAAACAACTCTGAAATGGTTTTATTACTTGGTGACGCTGAAAAGAACGAAATATTATTTGGGTTTTAAATTGAACTAAACGAACGAAAGATACATTAAAAGATTTTTCAAACATATTTGAGGGGATTTTTATATACGAGGGGATTTCAATATACACCAAAAAAATCAATGAATTGCAAATCCTACAAGATAAAAACGATTTCCTTGTATCTACTGGACTCTACTGGTAATGTTTCACTATTTAAATGTGGCAATGTGCAACTCATGGTTGGAGTATTATCGTGACAATCGGCATAAACCTAAGAAAATAGATTTATTTGAATTCACGTTTTACATTGCAGAAGCTTTAGATTTCTCTAAAGCTCCACTAAGAACACCGAAAAGAGGTCGTCCTTTAAATGAGTCACCTGGAAGTTCTCCTAGAGATTCCCCTGGAAGTTCCTCTTTTACGTTTGTAAAAGATGAACCTTTCAAACGAATGAAACAGCAACAACCTATCAGCGAAGTGAGATATGATAAAATTTCTTACTGGCCAATTCCTTCACCAACAGCGTTGCGATTTTCAAGGATGCAGCGGAAGAACATGCACAATGTGTGAAAAGTGTAACGTCCTTTTGTGCTTGTTGACAGACAGACATTGTTTCAAAAGTTATCATACAAGACGTCAATAAAACAATATATTTTTATACATGCTTTTTCTGTAATAAAATATGATAAACTCGCTTTCATCGTTCTTGGTGTGTGCCTGAAATAAGCTACTACGGAATTTTTAATATTCGTAACACTCTCTCTAATAACATAATATCTAACAATAATAACTCTCTCTGATACACAGATGCGTAATTCAATTGTGCGAGTCACGTTCGTCATGGTAAAGTGCGATGAGAAGGGAATGAAGAGACCACTCACGTCTCCCAGTATTGTAGCCATAACACCGATGCGTTTGGCCGATACGGTGTCGGTGATAAGTTCGGCCTCTTTACAAATACAGATAGCTGCCACTGGAGGAGGTAAACGAATCGAGCTTAGACAAGAAAAGACAGATGAAACAACTTATTGCAAGTGTTTTTACACGCACACGCCAAGAAAGATGAAAACGTCTATATATAATTTTATGTTTATTTATGCCTTAATAACCTTTTGGTGGCAGTTGCCACCAATTTGTAAAATGAGAAGGGAGGTTAAAAAATTTATAACAAATATTTTCAGTATTATTTAGGTGTCCAATTAAAAAAATATTAACAGACAAATTTTACCTTTGAAAAAAAAATTCAGGACTGAAAGCAAATTTACTAATATGTAAATTTTAGCTGGAAGGTCAGGTAATAGTACAAGTGATGGAGTTTAAATATCTAGGCATCACATTATCTAGCTACATAAAGCTCGAAATAGAAGTGGAAGATCAAGTGAATAGAGCAAACAGAACCGCAGGCTGCCTGAATGAAACAAAATGCAGAAATAAAAGTCTCAGGAAAGAAATGAAAGGCAGAATTTACAGAACAGTCATCAAACCAATAACGATAGACGCTGTAGAAACACGACCTGATACAGAGAGGGAAAAGGATCATAGAAACAGCAGAGATGAAAACACTTGATGGCAAAACACTATGGGTAGAGCTAGCAGTACAGATATATGACGTAGATGCAAGGTGCAGAACATCAAGGACTGTGTAAGAAGTAGACGAGTAGAATGGAACCATAGTATAAACCGAATGACAATAAATAGAGTAGTAAAGACGGTTCCCCAATAGGAAGACGATTAGTCACCAATAGGAAGACGACCAGTAGGGAGACCACGAAAACAAATGATGGAACGACAAATTACTGGAAGCACATTGAAAAACAGAGTCATGCGGACATAAAAAGAAAAAAGAGAAGAAGAAATATACACAAAGTTGGCTATAAACAAATTTAGACACATACCTCCGGTTACATCGACTCCTTTGTTCAGAAAAATACGGGAACCATGGAATTATTGGTCGTAGAAGGAAAGCCAGAAGGTTGAAGACCTAGAGGAAGATCTTCAACACGACTAGCAGACCAAATGAAATATCTGGCGGGAAATTGCTACATGAAGCCGTCCATATGGCACAATTTCGCAGCCAATGGAGACAGGAAGCTAACAATATTTAGAGTGTCACTACGCTCTGACAAAGGCTCAAGGAATGAGGATAAGGAGAAACTATATGAACATTCCAACGACACTAAACAGTACTTTGTTGTCCTACATGTGGCAAAATAAGATACTTACCTGCCAAAATAGCCAGTATTTGAGGCCAAACGGTCTCTTCTTCATTTTTTTCATTTAAATCACTATTTGAAACATTCTTATCAGTAACTTCCATGTGCTTAATCATCGCTAACTAACTAACAAATCCATTAGTAATTTATCAAGACCTATTATTTTGAACACTCTTTAATTACACTAAAATCTAAATCATTATATATTTGTTTCAAATATATTTGTGCATATTAAAAGAGTTATCTGTTCTGAATGTCTATTTATATAATATGTATTTGCAGTAGCTTAATGAAGTCGTAGAACTATTTACAATTACACGTCTCAATTAAATACGTACTTGATAATGAAATTGTTTTGAACGGTTCATCTAATTGACGTAACACAAATCTTTAGTATAAAAAATTAGTCTTGGACTAGAATACTGAAAAGAAGAGCATATAAGATTACAAAACAATAAATTAAAAAAATATATGACAAAGTAACAATTTGTAAATAATATAAATTTAAATTTGAGACAAATTTAATAACTATGGTTTGATATTGTACCGTTGGGGAACATCAAGTTACTTGAAGTCATTTTAAATTATAATCAAACAAAAATCTGTTTGAGCGCTATCTATAAATCACCGATAGTAAACATAAACAATTTTAATCAGGATTTGCATCAATACCTCATAAGTAACAAACGAATGTGTTTTCATATATTAGTTGGTGATATCAATATTAATTTGTTTGAGGATCTAGATCACACTGAAGAATACCAGAATATTCTAGCTTCACCAAATTTCTTGTCTTATATAAATAAAACAACTAGACCTAGAAGTCAAAATTGTATAGACCATTTCTTTATAAAAAGACCTGCTGATTACACTAACATAACTTCATTTATATTTGAAAATAATACTACTTCAGATCATTATCAAATCGCAGTTTCCATTCCTAATCTAACCAAAACCAAAGAAAACAAAATAATAATAAAGAAGTACATCAACTACAAAAATCTAATAAATGATCTAAAAACCACTTTTAAAAAAGATTGGATGACAGGGGGACTTTTAAAGTATGTACAGGAAAAACACAGATTGTATGATCAGCTAATCCAAGATCCCTCAGATAACTTAAAAAAACAACGATATACAGACTATAAAAATAAATTTAGACACTTAGTTAAAACTGCAAAAAGAAATTATACAAAACAACCAATTTGAAAAAAATAAGACCTCTTCTTCATCACTTTGGAATGTAATTAATTAATTGTGTGGAAAAATAAAAGGAAATACAAAAATTGAATCGGTTAAAACCAAAACAGGAGAAAAAATAACCGACAGAAAAGAAATTGCAAATAAATTTAATACACATTACAGTACATTGGGACAAAGGTATGCACAAAAAATACCCATTTGTAATGACCAGATTGAGGACATAGATAGGATAGCAAGTAGCATGTACTTGTATCTCGTTGACCAAAAAGAATGGTAAATGCAATACAATCTATAAAACACAAAAAATCTCCTGGCTGGGATGGAATCAAGACAGAAACCATCAAACAAATTAAGGAAGAAATTATTACTCCTTTAACTTTTCTCATTAATGCATGTTTTTAGGATGGTTGTTTTCCAGAATGTCTGAAAATAGGCAAAATCAAACCTCTGTTTAAAAAAGAAATAAAGAAGACGTGATTAATTACAGACCAGTATCTTTGTTGTCTGTTTTTTCCAAAATAGGTATTTGAAACATTTTTAAAAAATAGATTAGTAAGTCTTTTTGATAGGTTTAGTATAATATCGGATTGTCAATACGATTTTAGAGAAAGAAAATCTACACAAGATGCTATTTGTAAACTAACATCACAAATATCAGAAGCTTTTGAGTCTAATAAACGTAGTTTATGCATATTTGTCGATCTCTATAAGGCGTTTGACACGATATCTCACGGGATCTTGTTAGAGAAACTTGAGAAGTATGGTCTGAGAGGACGCGTTTTGACATTACTAAAAAGCTACTTAACAGACAGAAAACAATTTGTAGAAATTGATGGTGTCGAAAGTGATCCTAAAGTAATTAATTATGGCGTACCGCAAGGGACCGTTTTAGGCCCTCTACTTTTTTACACTCCATGTTAATGACCTGCTTAAACTAAAAAATGGTGGAAACATAATAAGCTTTGCTGATGACACCGCAATTTTTTATAAGGCCGATAATTGGGAAGATCTTAAAACTATACTTGAAAAAGACTTCAAAGTTATAAAAACATGGTTGCAAATAAACAAACTCACAATAAATTACGAAAAAACTAAATTACACTTTTGCAATATATAAATTCTCTGCCAACTTTTAATTCATTAAAAATAAATAAAAAACAACAAATATATAAAGCAGAATACATAAATAGTTTAGGAGTTTTAATTTACAGACACCTTAAATGGGACTTACAAATAAAAAATATTATAGAAACGGACGAAAAGAAAGAAAAATACTAGGACTGTTACCAAAATGCCGCTATTTAAAAGAGTTTTTAGATGTTGAACAGCTTAAAATACTTTACCTGTCTTTAGTACAATCTCATCTTGTATGGTCATCAAAATACTCAGAAATGGTTTCTTAAACTAATATATGGAAAACGAAAAACATATCCCTCAGACCAACTTTTTCATGAAACTCAGGTTCTTGATGTTCGGCAATTGTACTGCTTAGAGCTACTTAAAAATATTCATAAAGATAAAATACCTCTTAAAGTAAAAGTGTCAAATTATGAAACAAGAAGAAAATTGAATGTTGAATGTCTTCACACTTCAAAAACAATCACGCAACGGTCAATTAAATATTTTGCTCCAAGAATATACAATCAATTGCCCATAAATTTTAAAAATACAAAAATTTTTTAATTGTATAAAAAATTAGTTATTGCTTGGGTAAAAGAAAAAAGGGAGTTGTGTAACAATTTAATAAATTTAAATTATACTAGATAAAAAAAAAACGAAACAAATTAAATTAGATTAGAAACTGTAAAAATGAAATAATAATTTGTAAAAAAAAACAATAAACATTAAACCTGTTAATATTAGACAGATTAAGTCGCCAAGCATGTTAATGCTTTAAAGACTTTTTTGTACGTTTATTTTATTGTAAGTAAAATGAAATTGTAAATTAATGTAATACTTATTGATTTAAATAAACGTATATTATTATATAATTAGCTTGGCAAATATTCAATTAAAAAAGGGACTTTCAATATCTCTCACATTTATCTATCTCCATCTATACAGCCCTTGCTGTTCAATTTTGGACATAGGCCTCCTCTTCCTTCTTCCACGTCTCTTTATTGTAGGAAGTTTGTCTCCACTTTGGGCCTGCGTGTTTCTTCAAGTCATCTGACCATCTCATTTACGGCCTTCCTCTTTTTCGTTTGTAACTATATGGTCTCCAGTGTATAATCATCTTTTTCATCTGTCGTCTTTCTGTCTTCCAGTATGTCCAGCTTACTTCCACTTAACTTCTGCTATCAGCGTTGATACATCGGTCACTTTTGTTTTGTTGCGAATCCAAGTATTTCTTTTCTTGTCTGATGGCCTGATGTTCAGCATTTGCCTTTCCATGGCTCTTTGGGTTTTTGCTATTTTCTCCATGTTTTCCTTTGTAAACGTCCAAGTTTGAGAACCGTAGGTGAGAACAGGAAGTATACATTGATTGAAGACTCTTGTTTTTAAATATTGGGGGTATTTTCTACTTTTTAGTATATAGGAAACTTTTTCGAAGGATACCCAAGCCAACCGTATCCTTCTCTTTATTTCTCCGGTCTGATTTTCTTTATTTAATTTAACTAGTTGTCCCAAATATACATATTCTTTTAGTTGTTATATAGTTGTTTGTGCAATTGTAATTATTAATTCTTCTGGTTAGTTGGTCATAATTTTCGTTTTATTATAATTCATTTGTAGACATATTTTTGTTGATTCGCTATTTAATTCATCCATCATATTTTGTAATTCTTCCCTTTTATCAGTTATTAATACAATGTCGTTTGCATATATCTCAAGTCATTCAAGTATTGGCCATTTATGTTAATACCCCGTTTTTCCCATTGTAATTTTCTAATAACGTCTTTCAAAGCTTGATTAAATAGTTTGGGTGATATAGTGTCACCCTGTCTGATTCCTCGACGTATCTTAATAGGCTCTGTTTTTTCAACTATTTTAATAGATGAAATGAGGTTGAATGCTCGAATAAATGAAATTTGAAAATAAGGCTATTATCGAGCACAAGTTAATTAAATCTAGCCCAAGTACTTTCGCTTAAAATAGCATCTTCAGGGGCATTTCGTCAAAATGTGAACTATCCGGCAAGCGTAGAATGTGGAAACATTAAAAATAACATAAATTGTACAAAACACTACACTAAAACGAGGACAAACAGTTTAAAATTACTTCTACGCTACATTCTCTGTCAGTATCTGGAGGGATAATGATTATCTGTTATATGTTAATCTGTTTGTTAGTAGTTTAGTTAACAGTTTGTACATTAAACTAAGTAGCGTTATGGGCTTATAGTTTTTTAGATCTTTTCTATTGCCTTTCTTAAATAGTAATAGCGTTATTGCCTTGTTCCATGTGGCGGGTATTTGTTTTGTGTTCAATATTTTATTCATTAGTACATAAATAACTTCCACTTTAGTTTTCCCCACATTTTTTAGCATTTCCAGAGTTATTGCATCTTTCCCAGGAGATTTGTTATTTTTCATTTCTTTGAATGCCTTTTTTATTTTATTTTTACACATTTCTGGTTGTAGGTCAGAGTTAACGTTCTTTATTTTCAGTTGTAACTGATTACGGATTTCTTGGGTTGGTTTTTGTTCTGTTTTATAGAGATTTGTATAATATTCGTTCGTTATCTTTGAAATTTCTTTTATATTGTTGGTCTCTACTCCTTCTTTGTTCCTTATGCTATTAATTTGTATGTTTCCCAGGTTCTGTTTTAAGCACTTTATGTTTCTATTTTTTTCAATTGCTTTCTCTATCTTTTCTTCTTGTACTCTCCGTTCAGGCTCCTTGATATTTTTTTCTAATAGTTTTGTTTATTTCTTTGTATTCCATTTTATTTTTGTCCACTTGTTCTAGTAATATTCTTCTTGTGTTCATAAGAATCTTTGTTTCCTGGGACATGAAACTTTCTTTTTTTTTGTTGTTGTTTGTGCTATTTCTTTACCCACTTTCATTAGAGTTTCAGTAAATATTATGTTT